TTTTCAATTTCATTTAATTCTGCTCTAATTTTGGTTATTTCTTTTCTTCTGCTGGGTTTCAGATTAGAGTTTTCTTCCTTTTCCAGTTGCCTTAGATGTCCCATTAAGTTGTTAACTTCCTCCTTTTCTGTTTTCTTGAGGAAGGCTTGCAGTGCTATAAATTTCTCTTTTAGGACTGCCTTTGCAGTATCCCAGAGTTTCTGATAGCTCATATCTTTGTTATCATTTTGTTAAAAATATTCGTAATTTCCTTCTTGATCTCATCTCTGACCCATCTATCATTCAGCATAAGGTTATTTAGCTTCCATGTTTTTGTATGAGTCTGCAGATTCCTTTTGTTACTGAGTTCAACTTTTATTCCATCATGGTCTGAGAAGATGCATGGAATAATGTCTATTCTTTTAAATTTGCTGAAGTTAGACTTATGACCTAAGATGTGGTTGATTTTGGAGTGTGTTCCATGGACTGATGAAAAAAATGTGTATTCAATTTTGTTAGGATGAAATAATCTGTAGATGTCTGTTAGGTCCAAAAGTTGAATAGTAAAATTTAAATCTAAAATTTCTTTGCTAAGCTTCTTTTTGGGTGATCTATCCAGCACTGCTAAAGGAGTGTTAAAATCTCCAACTATGATGGAGTTGGGAGAGATCAAGTTGCTCATGCCTGTTAGAGTATCTCTTATAAATTGAGGTGCATTGTGTTTGGGTGCATAGATATTGATAATTGAGATCTCATCATATTGAGTATTACCCTTAACAAATATAAAGTGGCCATCATTATCCTTGCTTACTTTTATTGGTTTGAAACCTATTGTATCTGCAAATAAAATTGCAACATCTGCTTTTTTCTGCTTTCCATTTGCCTAGAATATAGATGACCATCCCTTTACCCTGAGCCTATATTTATCTTTTAAGGTAAGATGAGATCCTTGTATACAGCAGATGTTTGGTCTGAGTTTCTGTATCCAATCAGCCAATCCATGCCTCTTTAGAAGACAATTTAAGCCATTCACATTGATTGAAATTATTGATAAGCCTGGTAAAATTTTGGGTATCGAGTTGCTGGAAAGTCCAGTGGACATTTTTAATCCTTTCACCACTGTGGAAGTTGGAATTTGATCAAAAGTTTCTAAGTGAGTTTACTTTTGTGGTGGAGGATTGCACTGGTCATTATGGAGGATAGGTCTGAGAATTTCCTGGAGAGCTGGTTTAGTTATGGCAATTTCTTCAACATGTGGATGTCATTAAAGTATTTAATTTCTCCATCATAGATGAAACTCAGTTTAGCTGGATACAGGATCCTGGGTTGACATTTGTTTTGTTTTAGGAGATTAAAAGTCGATGACCACCTTCTTCTAGCGTGAAAGGTTTCAGCAGAGAGATCTGCAGTCATTCTAATATTCTTTCCCTTGTAGGTTATGTTTTTTTTACATCTGGATGCTTTTAGAATTTTCTCTTTCATATTAACTTTAGTGAAGTTAATTATGATGTGCCTAGGGGATGTCTTATTTGGGTTGAGTCGTACTGGGGTTCTGAAACTGTCTGCTATCTGAATTTCAGAATCTCTTGGCATATCTGGAAAGTTCTCTTGCATAATTTCATGAAGAAGAGCCTCTGTGTTTTGTGAAGCAAGTTCATGGCCTTCAGGGATTCCTATAAGGCGAATATTAGTTTTCTTCGAATTATCCTAGAGCTCTCTGAGAGAACGATCCATTTTTGCTTGCCATTTCTCTTCATCTTTTAGTGCTTGGGTGCATTCAAAAGCTTTGTCTTCAGTGTCAGAGATCCTTTCTTCTGCCTGTTCTATTCTATTACTGAGGGATTCTACCATATTTTTCAGATCTTTGAGGGCTGCAACCTCTTGCCTCAGTGTCTTGTAATCTTTGGTCATTTTATCTTTGAAATCATTGAATTCTTGAGACAGCTTTTGAATAATTTGAAATTCTAATTCCCTCCTTTCTTTTATTCTGTTAATTTTATTTGCTATCCAGGTTCTGAACTCAATTTCTGACATCTCAGCCATCTGTTTATGGAAGGGATCTTCAATTACATCTGTCCCATCCTTCCTTCAGGGAGTTGATCTACTCTGGTTATTCAGGTTACCAGAGTTTTTCTGCTGATTCTGCCCCATACTGAATTTGCACCATTTGAAGACTGTCCCAAAACCATTCCACCAGTGGCTATCACTGGAGAAGAGGCTGGCTTCCTCTGGTTGCCCAGAGAGATAGGGTATATCTGTGCAGAAAAGCCTCAGAGGTGTGAGCCTTATTGTTCTAGCTGCTGCGGCTGTTGCTCTTTGCCTGGGGGTACCACCTCTTAAGTGTGGTTTCCTCTCCACTGACCATGCTCTTGCAGTTCTTGGGCACCAGGCTCTGAGAACTTGCAGCTGGATCAGTCCTAGGGGGTGGCCCTTGGTAGCGCAGAGTGCCTATGAGCCCCAGTGCTGGGGATGCAGCAGATGGATCAGTCTTGGGGTGGCCCGTGGTGGTGTGGAGTACCTAACAGCCCCAGCATGGGGGAAGCATGGCTGGATCAGTCCTGGGGGAGGGCAGGAAGTGGCATGGGGAATGCCCACAGTGGCATGGAGAACGCCACAGCTGGATCAGTCCCTGGGGCGGCCTGGGCAGTGCAGAATGGGGAACTCCGCAGCTGGATGGGGTGGGTGGCCCTCTGTGTTGTGGAGCCCCTAGCAGCCCTGGTATGGGAATGCTGCGGCTGGATCAGTGGGGGTGGGCAGCCCATGGGTGCGCTGAGTGCCAGCAGCTTCAGTGCGTGGAATGTGGGACTCAAGCAATTCTCTGGCTGCGGGGCTGGGACAGGGCTCCTGGTCCCACAGGGATTGGGGATGCTACTCTTGGGCCTCCTCTCACTGTCTCCGCAGGCAAAGGGGGAAGGGTGGACTGGAAATTCAAGATGGTAGGCTGATACCTGTCTGCCATCTTGCCCCTCCCCTAAGTTTCTCACTCTTAATTCAGAGTTACTGGACAACATAATCCCAGTGGGAAATAAAAAATGCTACCCTTTGAACAGATCTTGAATATGTCATTCAAGAGTTTCTCACTCTTGATCTTCTTGCTGAAAGCGCTTTCCGAGAGGGTTGAGCAGTTTGTTTTGCAGGATGTCGGAAATGGCTGAGCTGTGCGAACTGTACGAAGAGTGCAATGACCTGCAGATGGATGTGATGCTCGGCGAGGGTGACCTTCTGCTGATGGAGGTAGGCAGCGGGAGCCGAGACCCATCCCTGCGTCCCTCCCGCAGCGGGGCCCAGCCGCAGCTCGAGGTGGAAGGCCCGATGGAGGAGGAGGCGGCGCAGCCAATGGCGGCGCCAGCGGGGAAGCGGGGCCTGCCTAACGGGCCCAGCCCTGGGGAGCAGTCAGGCCAGCTCGCGGGCCCAGACTTCGAGAGTGAGGACGAGGGCGAGGAATTTGATGACTGGGAGGACGACTACGACTATCCGGAGGAGGAGCAGCTGAGTGGTGCCGGCTACAGAGTCTCAGCGGCCCTTGAAGAAGCCAACAAGATGTTCCTGAGATCATCCAGAGCCAGAGAAGCAGCTCTGGATGGCGGGTTTCAGATGCATTATGAGAAGACCCCGTTCGACCAGTTGGCTTTTATCGAAGAGCTTTTTTCACTTATGGTTGTCAATCGTCTGACCGAAGAACTCGGCTGTGATGAAATTATTGATAGAGAGTAGTTAAATGCTGTTAAAAGAGGAGGAAACTACCTGAGGAGAGACCCAGCTTGCCACTATCTTTTGGGTTCATTCCATATAGTCCTGTGCCAATGAAAAACTAGATCTGCAAAAAAAACCGAGTTTTTGTTTTTCAGAATAGAAGACAATAGGACAGTGACTGTACAGTTGTGAAAAAGGAAGAGAATCATGAAAGAAAAAGAATCTTAGGACTGTTGATGTCTGTTCTCAAGAATGTCCCAAAACACCTGTGACTTTGACTT